ATCTATAAATGAAAGCAATACTATAATAGCATTATATTTATTAATGTTATAACTAGTTAATGTTAAAATGCAATCATCCCCCAGGATCTGCAGTTTTATAAGATTTAAGACTATTTCCATCACAAACATTCAAATAATAGTTTTAAAATGTACCAATGTAATTAAATATTTACCTATGTTTTTATTTTATTTTACTTTATGAGACCCAATAAATTAAAGTCAATAATGTGGAAAAGACAATCCTGGTTAGCAATTGATTCTGCAGTAAGTGAGCTAATGATTAGCATGAAGTTAGATTTTAAAACACTTGTATTCAAAAGATAGTCTCATGAAATCGTTCAGTTTTGCATCTTAAAAAAGAACAATTACTTGTTTGGTTAATTACCAAATGACTGAAGCTGCTGTTCTTCTGTTTTTCTGTCCGCGTGCGTATATTGCAGCAATGACACACAGCGATTAAAGTGACTCAGACCCTGACAATGACTCAGTGGCTCTATTGTGTCAGTCCAAATGAGCCCCCACCCCAACTGAAAAACTAACTAGCGAAATTCACTGACAAAGAAAATTAAACCCCTTTTTAATAAGATTTACCTGAGCTCCTAGAATATAATTATGTGTTGGATTAATTACATTTTTGTAAAAATATTTTTCTATAAAGAGAACCTTTTGATCCCATGTCTGCTTTGCATAAACAATGTGGTCATTTAACCAACAGCTGAAGCAGTGATGCTTAAGGATGTAAACACTTATATGAACTTATTCACTTGGAAGTTCCCAGTGACTCCACTATGTTTCAGGTTAGTAATTGACGGGCAGTGAAACAAAGCCTGAAGTGAATCAGTTTGTGTCATGTTCACTTTTCTGCATGACTTCCTGAGCTTGGCATCATTAGTTAGAAATGCTACCCAGCAGTAGGCCTGCTGCCCATCGCAATGGATTTTCTTTTGTTCACAGTTTTGGGTAAAGAAAACCATCAAGCTACAGAATGATAAAGAATAAATTTATTGCATCAGAATGAAATTAGTTTTTGTGTCTTAAACCAGTCCTATGTTTACAAGTTTTTTACCAGTCATTGAAAATCAGTCACTTTAAGAAAAGGTATGTTAGTGAATTATTTTTTATATAATTTTTTATATTACTGGTGATTGTTGGTTTTGCCTTTCCACCCACATTGAGCATATTAATAATGACCATTGTTGAATTTTAGGGTGGAGACTTGGTATATTTCCTTTGCATTTTGTGAATTTGTTCAAATGTTTTTTGATTATGTTGTCATGTGCTGCAACAACTTTGCATTATTACGCACAATCTTACCCAAATAATTGAAATGAAAATAACTAAGCATTTTAATAATTAAGGATTTATTTATTGATTACAAGAGCTCTAATATAATATTTAAACACTAAATCTATTCAAAGCACGTATTTAAATTTGTAATAATACCACAAAATAGCAATGATTTTATTTTTTTTTTATGATTTTCTCTCCATTCCTCTAAGTATTGTGATGACTATTGCTGTTATCGTTGCTGTCCTGTCATCCTCCCTGTAGGGAAGCCATCAGCCTGGTGTGTGAAGCTGTTCCCGGGACCAAAGGAGCGCTGCGGAAGAGAAAGGTACTCTGACAAACGGAAACAGGCCTGCATCTCAGAGGAATTTATATGAAATGCTCTGTAGGTAGAAGTAGAGGAAAGGGCATAAGATATTCATTTACCCTTCCCTGCTCTATTAATAGCACCCCTGTTGTATGCCCCCCCCCACCGTCTCCCTGTATGTGAAATGAGAGGCAGAGGAGGGAGATGAAGACGAATGGCTCTATGTCTGCGTGGGTGTAGCTTCAGCCCACGATGTATCGCACACTGCACAGTGCTTAGTGACTCATGTAGTTCACAATATCTGCGATCAGGAGGCTGAGCTGTCTGTGTGTGTGTGCCAGTGGACTCTGTTTGCGTGCCTTAATGTGAAGCATTATTCTGCTCTCTAAAGCTTCCTCAAATGTCAGAAAAGAGGATGTAACAAAAACAAAATGAGTAGAAGCTAATTTCTCTGAATGGAGGTTTGATATTAGAAGATGTTCCTTTGGATGTGTGACAAACATGTAAAGGTTACATCAGCTGTGTACAGACAATTTTAAATAACTGGCTTGTTTGATCTGCCTACTCCCCCTTTCATTAATTCATTCCTTGGTTCCAATGGAAACATTTATGTTCCCAAAGCTATATTTGGCACCAGGCCTTTCCTACTGACAGAAGATGTATTTTCTGGTGTTGTTTTGAGGACCTTAAAAAATTGAATAACAGGGTAACACATAAATCTGATGATTTATTTAATTCTTTTTCATTTGTATAGACCAAATAGGGTTTAACCTTTTTATTTTTCTTCTAGCCACCCTCTAAAGCTCTGTCCAGCATTTTGGGCAAGAGTAATCTCCAGTTTGCCGGCATGTCCATAAACCTGAATATCTCCACCAGTAGCCTCAACCTGATGACACCCGACTGTAAGCAGGTCAGTCTCCTTTCCTACATACAGTAATGCACACCTTTTGGCAGAAGGTTGCAAGCCATTGTTCGGGAGTTGTATTTTAATTAGGTAGAATAGACATACTACAAACAATCTGATTGTTTTTTTGTTTTGTTTATTTTTGCAAACAAAGATTGGGGGAAAACTTTTAATTTTCTCTGTGGCAGATTAGGGTTTCCAAGTGTTCTTCTCTAAATCTGATGAATAAAATGTAAAATGTGATGTAAAACGTAAACAAAAACAGATTTTCAATTCTTTAAGCTGTTTAATCATTACAGACTTTTTATTAGATCGGAATCGAATGTTTTTATACAATTAAATCAAATTTAAACTTAAATTTGTCAGAACGATAAATCATGTGGTGATCAGCTTTGCATGGATATGTCCACTATAGCAGATTAGTGAGTTGTTGGTAACTGCTTGTTTTTAAGAGTCTTGCACCTCCCCCCCAAATTATTGTGAAATTACTACACAGAAGTAATTTTAGTAAACCTTTAACCAGATATGATGATGCCCTAGATTACAAATCTATGTTATGTATGAATTTTGAATACTAAGTTTCTGAATTTATTATTTATTTTTTTTGTCAGATCATTGCCAACCATCACATGCAATCTATCTCCTTTGCATCAGGGGGAGACCCTGTAAGTATTTCCAACAAATATTTGCAGATTACACTCATATATGTTTTAAATGAGAAACCAGTCAATATATTAGCATGCATGTATTTAACTGCATAGACATTGTATTGAATTTAACAAATCCCATCTTTTTGTTGTAGGACACAACAGACTATGTTGCCTATGTAGCAAAGGACCCTGTAAATAGAAGAGGTGAGGATGCATGTCTCTGACGTTCACTTAACAAAGGACTATAATGCAGCATGTTCCTAACAGCTGTAATCTAACCCTCCTCAGCATGTCACATGCTGGAGTGCTCTGACGGCCTCGCTCAGGATGTTATCAGCACCATCGGCCAGGCGTTCGACCTACGCTTCCAGCAGTACCTGCAGTGTCCCACAAGCAAGATGTCTTCAATCCATGACAGGTGAGTCTAACATAAAAAAAACTGTTTCATACAAGGTCGTTAAGGCTTGGCAATGTGGCGAATTTAGCAAAAAATCGATGAAGAAAAGGGGATGGTAATTTTGTTACTTGTTTTTTTTTTTATATCCACTAATACCGGTATTCAATAAGTTCAGTTAGATTTAGATTGAAATACTACCCCACACTGATTTTAACATTGTCCTGTAATTCTGTGTTTTAACCAACTAAATCTGCACATAAAACATTATACTGCTCTCTGGAGGTTTAATGATTATAAATATGGTTTGAACTAGACTTGTGATCCTAAAACAAAGCCAAAAACCTCACTAAAAGTGTTATTTTTGTCATGTAATGTGAGCCTTTAATCCAGAAATGTAATCTGCAAAACTCACATTTGTTGTAGGATTCTATAATCCTTATTCAGCAAATGCAAAAATTATTATTATTAAAAATACATTTTTTTTTCTAAGTAAATAAAAAAAAAAAATGACATGCAGAAACAATTTAGGAAATTCTATGTTTAGGAACCCTGTTTATGAAAAAATTGAGCTGTAAAGAAAGTTTAAACTATTGAAAATGAAGGACTATTTAATACTTAATAAAAAGAATATTTGTAAACATCTATGCTTCGCATAAATTTAATGTCACAGTGTGAATAATCTACTTTTTTAATTATTGTTACACTTTTTTCATCTGTGCTGTGTAGAAGCTGTACCTTTCAGAAACACTTTTGCTCCTTTTAGACATATAAACAGATAAAAAACATATTTTTGTTAAATATAAGATGTAGGTTCTCCTTAGGTTTTAATATTATTACATTTTGATTTAGCTTCTCTGTCACCCTAAAATAGTATGGTTAAAATGTGTGTGTTCTTTATTTCAGGCTCTTAAACATGGAGGAGTTGGCATGGACAGAAGAAGAAGAGGAGTCGACAGAACATCCATATTATAACAACATCCCGGGCAAAATGCCCCCACCTGGAGGCTTTATTGACACCCGATTAACAAATCAAAATGCAGCTACAGAGGGAGGCCAGGTAGAGCGTCCATTATCGTCTTTCTAAAACACACAGAAAAAGCAATAACAATGCAACATATTTTGCCTCTAAAAAAGAACAGCTGACTTTTAGGGAAAAGAAACCAGCAAAAAATATGCCATATGTTTGGAGAGTGGAATAAACTACAGTTCTGTTTAAAGTATTTCTTGTTGTTCTTTTTTCTATCAGACTTTAATGTTTCAGATAATAAAAGTCATACCAGACTAATATAAACATAGTAAAAACGGAACTCATTTTTCTAATTTTTCTAATTTGCAATCATCGGAGCAAAAAGTTTCTAAACCAAACCTTTGTTAACACCAGCTTCTTTTACTGTTACATTGCATCACAGTGGTGTAAGGAAGGACTTTGACTAGGCCAGATTAGTCAAAGGTAGACCTGCTGATGTTCTGCAGGTCATTCGACTGCTAAATAACCCTAATGTGCTTGAGCTTACAGTAACAAACTGATGGTAGGATGATCTCTTTCAGGATTTTGTGGTACAGAGAAGAAATAACAGTTCTATAAAAACACTATCTATAAATACACACTATCTATAAATACACACCTGCCAGTGCTCAGTCTTGGAATTTCAATTTGAATTTGATATGAAAATGTATTCGATGGTCTGAAACATTTAAAGTTTACTTTAAAAAAGTTAATCAATCAGGGAATTTGCTGCTTTTATTTGTGATAAATTTATTTTTAATATTATATTGATATTGAGAGCTTTGAAATCCATTTAATTCCACTATAAGTGTTATTTTTTTATTGATAAACATCTGTTTCTGCATTTCATCAGACGGGTCCAGGCTCTGTGGATCAGACATACTACCAGGGACGGCATTGTGAGAACTGGGCTGATGAAAGGAAGGGCATCTTCCTGCAGCAGGGTAGGAATCCACCAGAAAGTCCATGTTTACCCACATATATTTAAACATGCACCGTGGTGTTGCTTCAGTTTGACTTTCACTTTATTTCTCTAAATGCCCAGGATCTATTGATATCAGCAGTCTACCAGAGAATAAAGGTCAAGCCCCAAAAGCAACAGAGATGCCCATGTATGTGAATACCCAGCAGATTGATGCCCAGGTGCTTGCTGCTCTCCAGGCAGAAGCTGAAAATGCTGCAAAGGGCATGGTAGATGCAGGACTAGAGAGCCCCCAGAAGGACCTGTTTGACATGAGTAAGATTTGATTAGCTTTATAATTATCTTTTTTATTAATATTTTTATAGTAGAAAGTGAAGAATTTGATTTAGACTAGTGATGACACAATTTGATTTAGTTCTACTTTTAAGGAATGATTGATTACATTTTATTAATATTTTATTTTTTTAGCTGATATGTGTAGATTTTAAATGGTAAAACCTTTCCAATATATTTTGTAGTTTGACCTGTTGACTTCCTATTGTCAAGAAACGGGGCAGATGGACCCTGTATTCAGTTGAGACAGACAGTGGGAAGTTTCAAAACGTTTAATTACAGAAATAAACTAACAGAACAGAATGTGCACTGCTGTGGATCTGCAGACAGGCAGCGGCTGCGGTGGGAGGTGGGGCAACACCCATTACTAGCACCTTCCGGAGTGTAACCGATGCTGTAACCCCAGTGAGCAGGCAGGAGACCGATCCAGGTCAGGGAAATAGTTCAGAACAAGGACGGTTCTGAGATCCAGGAAGCCATAGCCCAACCAGGGTTTCCGATTCAAACAGGAACTGACAGATCCAGGTTTCCAGGAATCCACCGAGCGCCCAGGCAGGTTCAGAGTTCCATGAACCCAACAACAAGCTCAGACAGACATGCTCAGATGGAAACAGGTGGGCCCAAAGGTTGAGAGGAACAGAGACAAGACATGGTACCAGGGTACCAGGAGAACTGCAGAACTTTAAACTGGCTCCATCCAGGAACCAGGATCACGGGACTTAAAAACACCTTCCCCCCCGCATGCTGAGCCGAAGGGGAGCCAAGCATTACCAGAACGGACTCTGCAGAGAAGAGCTGGAAACCGATCAGGAGACAAGAGAAAAACACCAATACCCTCTCTACATATTGGCCCCTGAGAGTGGGGGCATGAACCATGAACATAACTCAAACTGCAACTAATGAACGAAAACTACAACAAACAGAAATAACTGATGATCTGGGCTGAACCATAGATAAAGCATAAGGAGCAGGTGGATAAGATGAATGATAAATAGAGAGCGGACAGGGTACGGCAGGTGAAGGAAGTGAGTAATTAGATCAGCTGCCGAGCTGCAATCATGACAACTATAGCTCAAGATATAGAACTAATAGAAAGGCCTTGGTAAGGTTTTACCTTTTAAAACATGCTTTTGTTTCTACATTGGAAAACTGTAAAAATGCTTAATGTTGTTCCAAATTACTGATGGATTTTAAACCTCCTGTTGCTTTGGTTCATTGTGGCTTGTGGTCACTTTTATTCAACAACCTCTCTGGGTCTAACAGCAGCATATTAGTTGGGTTAAGGTCTGAATGTTCACTTCCAGTCCTGCGTGTTTTAGAGCTCTCCCTCCTTCAGGCCCCTGATTTCCATCAATGACTGATTAAGAGATTTTTTTCTGAACTACAGTCATCTGAATTAGGTGTGTTAAAGCGTAGAAACGTGTGAAACTGAGACTCCGGCAATCTTATCACCATGTTAATCTTTTTTATTCACTGTGTTTGATACCCCCTTTCTATGTTAGGTGTGTAATAAAGTAGTATGAGTTTTCAGAAAACTTTTGAAGATAAATTACTTCCGGATAATTACTGCTTGTCTGAATGCTTCTATATTATTTGAGAGAAAGCAATAGAATAAAATGCCTGAAACATTTCGAACTGTGATAAATTAGGCTGGATAAGGAGCGGAGTTTGTTTATCATGCCAATACATACCTGTAGTGAGGAGAATCATAAGAGAGGTAAAAAAAAAAAAGAATTAACCATAGTGTGTTAGACTGCAACAAAGAGCGCCATTTTTGAGCCATCGATTCTCCAGAACACACTTTGGTTTAGTCTGCAAGGCAGCATATGTTATTGGTTAATGAGAAATAAGACTCACCAATGTAGACATGCCGTGTCTGCTTAATGTCATACGGACTTTGGTTACAACAATTTGATTTTGGTCAAATAAACATTCAGTTTAGAGTAACATGATATGAATATGTGGCAAAGTGAAAAACATGTGCAGTATGAGGTTTGGTCAGGGAGCTATGATGCTGTGGGCCTGTTTGTCTACCAGAGTCTCTGTAAACATCATGGACAGTTTGAAATATCAGGACATTTTGATAAATTGTAATTTGAGTTAACAGGCAATGTTACTGTTATAGATTTATTTTGTAACAAAAAAAAAGCAAACAAAATAAACATTGCCTATAATTTAGTTTTACTACCTGAACAAATACGCAGAAAAAAACTGGTATCTTAAAAGACAACATGCTGGCTGCTGCATTAAAAGATATATTTATTTTTAGGCTTTTTCAAAGGTGCCATTAAATTCACTGAGTGGTGTAATTAAAATAATTACAGGGCTTCTCAGCTTTACCTACTTTATACATGTCTCATATAATTATATCGTGTCAGCAAAGAGATAAGAAGATGATGGTGTTTAATGTTGGTGTAGCTTTATTCTTTGCCTCTTAACCTCCATTTTGGCTTAGCTTTCGTTCAGGGGTCTGAAACTCCTCCCATTCAGATTCCTTCATGAATCAAATTTTAGTAACAAGCTTGGATAATCTGAGTAAATTATCAAAGAAGTTCAAAACCATACTACTCATTCTCACCATCTTTCGCTTTATGAACCGGGTAAAACCAAACTATTAAAGACAGAGGTTACAAAGCTATTCCTAAGACGTACTTAACATAATCATGCAACCAAATAAATGTTTGCTATCTTTTGCGATATAATCTTGTATACTGACTAATTTATTTTTTCTCATACAACAGAGCCCTTTGAGGAGGCCATTCAGTCCCAATCTCAGCCACTGGCCCAGGTACAGCCCCAAACTCAAGTGTCCAACCTTCAGAAGGCAGCTTCTGTGGACAACTCCAGCCCCCTCCTTGTGCGGTCTTTGGCCTTCCGCGCACAGGAAGAGTTGGAGGGTCAAACATGGTACCACGGCAAAATGAGCCGCCGCGATGCCGAAAAACTGCTTAAGAAAGATGGGGACTTTCTCGTCCGCACAAGCACGACCAACCCAGGGTCCTACGTTCTGACCGGCATGCACAATGGACTTGCCAAACATTTACTGCTTGTGGACCCTGAGGGCACGGTAAGAAAGGAATAAAACATTAGTTTTGAAATAGCCATGCTGTGAAAGCTAATCTGATTTTTTTGTTGTTTAACTTTTCTGTTTAAAAGGTACGGACAAAAGATCATATATTTGACAGCATTAGCCACCTTATTGGCCATCACCGTGACAACAATCTGCCAATCGTCTCAGCTGGGAGTGAACTCTGTCTGCATCAGCCCGTTGACAGGAAATTGTGATGCTTGAAATGCGTGAATGGAAGCGTAGAGCCTTTAAACGCTCTATCATCCTGGAACTGGAAGATGCCTAAAATTGGCTCCATGTGCTCAGAACTGACCTGCTTTACCGGAGTCGCTGGAGTACACAAGATTTGTTAAGGATTAAGGAAAACCATTTATAGAATTGCTCTTATTTTGATGTGATGACTGAAATGCTATATTTTTGAGAAGAAAATTTGGTGCATTTGGACTTAATATCTTGATTTGGTGTTTAAAAAACCAGTAGAATGACAAATTGTTCTTGTAGTATAGATGAAGTGCAAATAAAACCTCAAAGAGGTAAAAAGAATATTTTAAAATACAATTCTAAACTAAGTTTTGTCTGTCAAGCACAACCGTATTTCTACTGCAACTGTTGACTCAGTGGTTGAAAAATCAGAAAGGCTCTTTTGAATGCATTCTTATAGAAAAATAATGCCCTGATACTCACCATTGGTGTGACATCCTAATTTAATAGTGTCCATATGAAGGCTACTTTTGTTAGAGATCAGAGGTGATTGTGCTCTTACAGTTTCGGGAGCACCTTTTCATACTGCTGTCAATGGCTTTAGAGATCAACCTTTTTTATGATATAAAGTATTTCCTTGTGTCACTGCAGCCGCATGACTTCAGATCAACCCTTCTCGTGGCCGTGTTCGTAGACCTCAGTTCCCCCTTTATTTTAAAGGAGGTGCTTGTGTACGCTGAAACTGTAAGAAAATATATATATTTCTGCTTTTTCAATTAGTGGTTTTTGTTTCAGATTGGTTTTCTGACTTATTTTAGATGTTTTGTAGGTGATTAGGTTTGGTGCTTGAATCATACAGATTGATATCCTCACATTTTCAATAAGCACGCTGGGTTGTTTTAGTGAACTTTTGAAAGGGTCATTTTGGTTTTCTTTTTGGAATGGTCGCAAATGAGTAGCACAACCAGAGCTCTGTTTCAGTTGGGCTCAGGAGAATGAACAATGTTTCAAGGTTTTTTTAAGTTAATATTGCATTCACATTAAATTAAGTTAGACTATATTAAATCTGACTTTTTTTGGACTAGGCATGGCTGGTTAGACAACTAGCTTAATTAAAAATACCATGGATCTATAGGCTCTACATTAAATCAAAGCCGCTTACTAATATAACTTGTTTCATTTACATTTTTTTTTTTTTAAACACACAAAACTTATGGAAGTTGTGCAAAAAAAGTCAAAGCTTAATTTGCTTTAGATTGAATACTTTTCATAATTTGTTTATGCTCAAAAATTACTGTAATATGTCTACAAAGATTGTTTTTTGCAAAAAACTCAGTGGTAAATGGTAAACTATATACATAAAAAGTGGGATAGCTTTCAAGCATTAGCAGGAGAACAACAAAATGTAAGTCAACTAGAAATTCTTTTCAGCTTCTTTTTTACTATAAAACAAATGTTAACAAGAAAGGGTTCTAATTTCTAGCTAGAACTACCATATTCTCCTACAAAAGCAGCACTTCTGTTACTCAGCTTTTGAAGAAGACATGATGCTTTTTAGGCAGAATATCAAAGGGCAGGTGATGAGTGCAGTTTTTTGTGAGGATAAAAACATAAATTAACAAAAACAGCTGTAAACATGCAACTTAAACAATATAAATGAAAAAAAGAAAGTGATAGATTCTTTCAAGGCGGATGTCGTGTTAATAATCAATCCCGCCAGATTAATGAAGTGATATTCCACTAGTTCTTTTTTGTGTTTACCTGTTGGTCTCTATCAAATATTAACATATGATGACAAAAACTTTGCTTTTAGACCAAATGCATTTCAATTTTAGCTTGGACGTCAACAAAACATATAATGTATAATCTTGCTAGAAAATTCAGTACTACGTTTGCTGAATTTCTAAATCAAACTTCCGTATTTTCCAGACTATAAAGCGCACCTAAATATAAGCCGCGCCCTGCTGATATCTACAGAACTGACTCCCACCAAACCTGTAGGGAGAGCTCTACATTTAGTGCTAAACCAAAATTAACCGTAAACAGTAAAAAAAAAAAAAAAATGTTAAAAAGCAAACCACTGGAGTTTCCTTTCCAAGTCTGAAAATGTTTCGCTTCCCATCCAGAAAGCTTTCTCAATTCAAAATCTCTGGAGTAGCGTTGAGTTATTGGCTTATAGGGTGGCCGAAACAAAAGACTTCTTGTGGCTTAGAAAATGTGCAAAGTGAACTGAAAAAAAAAAAAAAAACGGGTCCATCACTTAGTAATGGGGAGTCTTTGATGTCCTTGTTGATATGATTTCTATGCGCCTAGGAAACACAATCCATTATTATTTCATTTCCAACTTTGACTTCCCCCTTTGGTGATTAGGCAAAATTAGTAGAAATGCATCTTCGTATAAGCTGCATGGTTCAAAGCGTGGGAAAAAAGTAGCGGCTTATAGTTAGGAAAATACTGTAATTATTTTTAAATTTCATAATCTTAAGTAGGAGTTATCTAAGTGCTTCTTGCACAGAAGATATTTCTTTTTCATTTTTGGTTTTTCAGAGTTACCTGGCTGGAACAAATATTTATGTTTTTGATATTAATTGGTTACTGAAGTCAAGCTATGTGCTCGGTTATCCATCTTTAAGTTGATAATGTTGTTTGCCATCTCCTATCTTGCACTTACACTAAGAGATGAATGGCAAAGCTTTAATTTCAGCACCACGTTTTTTAATTTTCATGGAGTATTTCCATACAGCCAAAACTTGATTCAGTCCTCTACTTACTCCTGTAATGATAACGAGCCATTGCCTAATCATGGATATTATTTAGCAACTAGAAGCACATATTGTTTGAGTATGTAGGTTCTTTTTAGAGTTGATTTTCAATTTGCAGTAAACTGTAAACATTTTCTCTAATTTTTGAGGTCTTACTGAAACCCAAATTTAGAAGGTTCATTGTTTTTTTTCCCTTTATTTTTTTAATGACTTTATCCTTGCTTTTGTTTGGACTCTGATGGAAACCAAATGAATGGGGCATTGTATTTGAAATGCACTCAACCACTTGAGTTGTACCAAAACAAGTAACGTGTTAAATGAGTTTGACAAGACAGATGCAATGTAATATAACGTGCCTGTGTTTTGCTGCAAGAAGGTGTGTACAGTACAATTATTACACAATAACCTGTTTGGCCATTAAGCAGTACATTTGGTATACTGTAAAACACTTTCCCACCTTTTACCTCTGCTATGTTTGTGACTAAATTTTAGCAATCCCGAGGGCTTGCAAGAGGGAATACTGCTACATTTTTCTAAAGCATTCATTTGAGTTTTTAGAATATTTTTAAAAAAGAAAAAAATCCAAGGTTAAATTGAAGAGAAATTAAACAGCTCTATATTTGAATGTAATAAAGTGAACATGATTAGCTTTGCAATGTAAAGAAACTACTGGACTAAACACAATGCGACTCTGATGGCGTCTTTCCAGATTTCTGTTGACTAAAATGTGCCTTTAATTTGTACAAATGGTGTTTTTTTTTCTCCCCTTCTCTCTCTTCAATGTGCAATAGCTGATCTTCGATGGGGCATGCCTGTTCACTGGAGGTTGTTTTTGCCCTGCTGAGTGTTGCTGCTTGAGACTAGTGCTCTCACTTTCTCTTAGTCTCTTTCCCTCTCTATTGATATGTATTATAAATGTCATCTTTTTGGGTTATAAAAGACACAGAGTCACAGAGAATCACTATTTTGGGACAAATATATTTAAAAGATGAAATAAAGAGGAGTCCAAATGATGTTTACAGATGTTTTATCTTTTAGTTGTATGGGTTCGTCATTATTCTGTATGACTGTTTGGCAATAAAATTGTGAATGTGTAGATTTCTCTTGTGTTTCCTAGGCGCATAAGAATTGCGTCACCCAAAATAAATGGAACAATGCTTCATTTCATGGATAGCCATAGGGCAGAGTTTACCACAGCCAGTCCAATAAACTAGCCATCCTTATAGAACAGTGCTGCTTTACATGCCACATCCAGCAGGAGGAAGAAGATGGGGTAAATCAGGCAATGAAGACCTTTCTTACAGTAGCATGCTTGTATCTTGTTTTCAGTCTTTTCCCTGCCCTACGATGACCTATTCTAAGCATTACATCTTGTTCCAGCCATTGCTTAGAACTCACCGGAACATGTCTGTACCCTGACCCACTCTGCCAGTATTGGTTAGGTTTTTTTTGGCTGCTCTACAGTACCATTCTTGCCACTTCCTATGGTCTCCAGGGATCGCCTGTTTCCACTTGCATTTCCAAAAACACCTTTCACTACTGGCTGCCTGTTGACCATGTAGAGCAGTGGTTCCCAACTTGGGTCTTCAGGAACCCCTGCGCTGCATGCTTTGGATGTATCTCTGTTCCATTGTACTTAATTCAAATTAAGGGTCCTCCTCTGCAATCAAGTGCCGCAGAACAATCTGTGGTGTGATACAACAAGGAAACACCCAAAACATGTCACCGATGTACATGACTGGGCATCCACATCAAAACAATCCACATCCAGCAGGAGAAGGACGAAGATGGGCATCCAGGTCCCGCTCTGCATGCTCAGAGTCCCTGTGCTTACTCACCTTTCAAACTCCAGGCTGGAAATGGGAGCTTAAAGGACTGACATAGCTAAAAGCAAGATCATGATAACCTCGATCCATAAAGCTACATATTCCTTGTTGTAACAAGGCTCTTAGAAAAGTGTTCAGTGCAGTTCAAAACCTAAGATAGGTAAAGCTTACAGTAATCATAGCCAGCAATTCTAATTCACTGATGGGTGTTCTTCCACATATTTTGGCACTCATAGAATCCATTATCTTTTACCGTAGCAGCTTAAACTCACTCCGGAAAAGTTATATAAATCTCTTCTTTACAGTCGGGGAATTCATTAACTTGGGTAAAAAACAATAACTGTAAATAGGAAAACTACTGCAGACTAATATATAAATAAAGAAACGGGTGTGTTTATCACAAATGCCCAACCCTTTAAAGTTCTTTTCCATAATTTATATGATTTAGATCTGACCATCCAAGAGGGCAAGTTAGCAATGATCTTGACAGCCAAGATGCCAATTTAGCATTGGTTTTAGCTTCCAAAAGGACACTCTGGCACGTATTTAGGCTTTCAAAAGGGCACTTTAGCACATGCCACTGGTCCAAGCTTTAAATATTAAGATAGTGTAGAAGAAAAGCCGCATGTTGGCAGTTTTGTAATGACCAGAAACAGAGGATCAAAATTCCTCCAGAGACAACAGTTACATGTTTTTCCATCTGGATTTGACAAAGCAGGTGTATGATGGAATCTTCATCTCCAACTCCATGGTGATTAGAACTGCAGGGGCCATTATAATTGCTGAAACATTGGTGACACCACCTGAACCTAGAGCTTTATTCTGGTTTGGTCTATCTGGCTGTCTCTTGATCTGACGAGAGACAGGCATGTGGGAGGGTGAGGCAAAAGGAGCAACAGATAGTTATGCTCCTTTTACCTCAGCTATTTCTCATATATATAAGCAAACAATTAAAGTCTTAATGATCAGCTTTTTTTGTTTTAGCAATCATGTTACTCTAAACTGAATGTTTATTTGAATTGTAGGTCAGAGAACGTAAAGGGGTCAGAACCATAAAGGGAGATTCATGAGACTAGTAGTCAGAAATAGGTTCAATGGGCAATCTGGGAGCAGGACAAAACGTGATCAGGCAACAGTAGATAGAAGAGGGTTATCAAAAAAAAAAAAAAAACACTAATAAACACAACAACTATGACCCAAACATTATCATTGTCTTTTTCAGAGTCAACGGGTCATTCTCTTGAGAAGAGAGAGTTTGGAATTGTGGAGGGCACCATCCTCAAGATGGTGGAAACGCAGAGGAAAGCAGATGTGTATATTGCCAAGTGTTAAAGATTGTATCGTGTCATCGTAACTTTTTGTCATTGAAGCTTGCCTTTCTCACCGCGGTTTGTTTGAAAATGGCCAAGGGTCGTAAGAGAAAAGGTCTTGACAGGTAAAGTTTATGGCGTCAATCTTATCCAACTCTTATCCAACGTACGTTGGATAACGTTGGAGAAACCTCTTCCACTGTACCCCCTCCAGCCGTGGTCTTCACCTATAGATGACAACCTGTGAGTCAATGGAAGAGGCTTACAGAAGAAGTTTGTTTCCGCCTAACCTGTCAAAACACATTTTCCTTTGCGCAAGGAAAAAAAATCAGTCTGAGGGCAGAGACGCTTCCGAGAGCACAGCCGTCCTCGAGCACAGCCGTCCTCGAGCGTGGCCACTAGATAGAAAATCATGTGTGCAGTGAGATTCTGAGAATGCACAAGTGTGCGTGGGAGGAGCTTGCACGTTCGAAGAGCGATTTTCCTCCTCTTGAAGATTTCTCGCGCATTTGTGATTTTATTGTGCTGTGGTAGATAAACAATGCACAGAGGTAGTTTAACATACATGCGAGTATGTTTATTTTGCTTGCAGGCGTTTTGCAATAAATGTCTATCCATTTTCTGGGGTTGCAAAGGGTGTTGGTGCCTATCTCCAGCTGTCTACGTGTGAGACAGCTTTGCAGCAGTGGATTTCTTTCTTAATTTCACAATTAGATTTGAAATGAAATCTTATAAAACAACTATAAAAAGCATTGTGGAGAAAGTGGACTCAAAGATAAAACGAAGAAAAAAAACTTGATCATTAGGAGCGACAACAGTAATATTCCCTGAACCCATTTTCCAACTCTCAGTAGGTACAACGTTTTTGGTGATAATGTATGAGTGGAACTAATTCTCAATTTCACAATACACACATGCAACAAACCCAGATCCTGTAATTGCCTCATCATTCACCTATTGCAATTTCCTCTTGGGGTACACCCTGAACAGGTCTATGTATGTATGAGACAAACAGGACAAACAACCATTCACACACACACACTCAAGGAGAATTTAGAGAAGCCAATTAACCTAATAGTCATGTTTTTGGACTCTGGGAGGAAGCCGGAGTACCAGGAGAGAACCCATGCATGCTCAGGGAGAACTTGCAAACTCCATGCAGAAAGACCAGGCCAGGAATCAAACCCGCAACCTTCCTGCTGCAAGGCAGCAGTGCTACCCACTGCGCCACTGAGCAGCCCGAAATAATGTGACGCCATAAAAGTTTGGCATGCTACTTGGAGAAATCCATTTCACATCACTGGTTGTAAAAGCTATCAACCTCTACATTGTAAGAGGTCACAGATCTTTATTTACCTCACAGACATGTCCACATTTCCAATGCAGCACACAAATATACAAGCATGTCATGATTTTTTTTTTATGTATCAGTAGTATTATTTGCTGGGAAACTTTTTAAATACAAATATTGGTGAGATAAGATCCATACAAGAGACCGTCTTATCATTGCGTCCTGCACCTTCTCGAGGAGGAATGGACTTGTGCATGCTCTCACGCCTTTTAATAAGTGTTCCTTTTTGGGAGCGGGTACAGGTTTGTGCATGTGCATTTTTTTTTTAAGTGGAGAGGGCGGGTCTTTTAAAAAATTTGCAGTCCTCCACTATACCTTTAAATCTCTATAGGCTTGTATGTAAAAGACGCTGGATTTGGGGATATGATCCTGCATCCATCTTTCA